CTTATTTATTCAGCTTCTTTCAGCTGATGTATAAATCTTAATTTAAATAAATTGACCCTTATGACTGGTTTTGTGCTCCAGGGTCACGTATGTGATGACCTCTGACACCTTCAACAGCGAGACAGAGGTGTTTCTGTTAATTACTGATGATGGATTGTGTTTAAACGAGCGCTGACAGAGCTGGAAATACAGCGGCGGCTCGTATGACGGCATCTTTCGACACGTCTGTCTGTGGGTTTTTCTAGGTGTGTTTGTCCCGGCGCGGAGGATCAGTGTTTTGACACGGCTGTGAGATGCCAGCGCTCGTGTCCTTCAGTGCACCTGTTCACGTCTCCCCTCGCACGAATATTTCCGTCTGTCTGAATGAGTGAAATAAAGAGAATCGAGCAGCAGTCAGTGACACGTGTGTTTATTGAGCTCGACTCATCTGTGTGTCGCACACGTATGTGCCGTTAGTTCGCCGCTGGATTTCCCCCGCGATTGTCACCAAAATTCTTTAGATGTTTGGTCCGGTTCTCCATCCTTGTGAGCCACTCGTCACGCAGCCTGAAATCAGAGTTCAACACCAAGTTTTCAAAAAGTCTCTGATGCTCATCAGAGCTGCATTCATTTGATTAAAAATACAGTAAAAATTGTAAATATTTTTATAATTTAGAATAACTGTTTTCTATGTGAATATCTGTTAAACTAATTTATTTCTGTGATCAAAACTATTTTCAGCATCATTGCTCCAGTCTTCAGTGTCACATGATCTTCAGAAATCATTCTAATATTCTGCTCGAGAAACATTTCTGATTATTATCAATGTTGAAAACATTCATATTTTTGTGGAAACTGATACATTGTATTTTTCAGGATTCACAGATGAACAGAAAGTTCAAAGGAACAGCATTTATTTGAAACATCTTTTGTAACAAATGTCTTCACTGTCACTTTAGCTCACACGTACAAAAAAAACTACATATGTATAAAATAAATATACAAGTATATGTAAAGTGCAGGGTATTATATAATGTTTTAATTAATGGCTGATGCTACATGTGAGATCAAAAAGTAGCTTTAATAATTCTCTGAATTCGCTGTAACATAAGTATAATTGACTGTACATGAGTATTTGCACACATGCCACCGTCTCAATATGGATTATTGAATTTGAGGGCCGTTACTCTGATAATCTTCTGTCCTCAGCAGGACGCAGATATTAAATATCAGCTCAGAGAACAGCACAGCCGCTTGACTGTGCATAATAATAAAAATATGTGACCCTGGAGCACAAAAGCAGTCTCAAGTGTCAATTTTTCAAAATTGAGATGTATGCATCATCTGAAAGCTGAATACATAAGCGTTCCATTGATGTATGGTTTGTTAGGATAGAACAATATTTGAAAATCTGGAATCTGAGGGTGCAAAAAAATCTAAATATTGAGAAAATCATCTTTAAAGTTGTTCAAATTAAGTTCTTAGCAATGCATATTACTAATCAAAAATTAAGTTCTGATATATTTACGGTAGGACAGTTACTAATTATCTTCATGGAACATGATATTAATATCCTAATGATGTTTGGCATAAAAGAAAAATGGATAAATTTGACCCATACAATGTATTGTTGGCTATTGCTACAAATATACCCCAGCGACTTAAGACTGCTTTTGTGCTGCAGGGTCACATATAGGGTGTGTGGAGTGTATTTTTTACTTGCATTTATATTATATTATCCAGCACTTTAACATGTGCAGTATATTAAGAAAACAGTAAAATATCACTTCTAATTGTTCTATTATAAATGCAAAAAGCAATACTCTCTTATGGTGATGCAACTGAGTTCCGAGACTTACTTTATGAGAGAGCTCCTCTTCATCCTCTCTTCTTCAGCTTCTATCGTGTGATTGTGATTGTTGATCTTCTGCTCCCAGAATGACTTGATGAAGAGTTTGTCGTGAATGAGAGCAGAACTCATCTCCTGTGAAGCGAAGGAACAGACGAATCAAACACCTGTTCATCAGAGATATGTATTCATATCAATAGATAAGAGCATATATATTCACCTGGTTGTGTGAGGTAAAGGTCAGCAGACGGTAAGAGTGATCTTCATCGTCCAGACGGTCAGTGACTGTCTGCCTGGCCTTTATTTCAGTGTGACTGGAGTGTCATCAGCACCTCTAATGATGTTTCTGAGCTCCTCCTCGGGTTTATTTCAGAAGTGACTCTTCTCCTTTCAGTGTCTTTTTCTGTTGGGATGGGCGGCACCCATTCACTCCAAGCACTATCTCTCCTCACTCGCTGCTGGAAGCTTCCTCAGAATTCTGCTTTTTTCTTCCAGTACAAATATCTAAAGAGCTTTTGCTTAAAATGAGAAAAATATCTACTAATGTGGTCAGAATTATAATCTTTCCCCCCCCTTTGAGTTAGTTGAATTTTTCTGACCCCACTGACAGAAAACTCACTTCATTTTGGTACGTTTTTCAGATCTTCCTACCAATTTAGGTTATGAAAAAATTGTTGGAACATTATTTATAGAACGTTGAAAGGTCTAGATAACATTAGCAAAAAAAAATACAACGTTGCACTAATATTTTTTCACCCAAAATATAACATTTGAACCTTTTTTTTTTTTAAATATTTGGTAACACTTTACAATAAAGTTCCATTAGTTAAGTTATTAACTGACATGAACAAACTCTGCACAATACATTTATTACAGTATTTATTATCTCTTAGTTAATGAAAATACAGTCGTTCATTGTTAGTTCATGTTCATTCACAGTGCATTAACTAATGTTAAAAAGCACAACTTTTGATTTTAATAATGCATTAGTAAATGTTGAAATCAACATGAGCTAATAATATAATAATATAGGTGAAATCAAACTGAAAAAAAAAGACTATATATCTATAATATATAAATGTTGAAATGAACATGAGCTAATGCTAGAAGTATTGTTCATGCTAGTCCATGTTAACTAAAGTAGTGTGTTAACTAATGTAACATTGTAAAGTGTTACAAAATATTCTAAGAACATTCAAATGTCCAGTTTTCTTTTCATGATTAGAATATTATTTAAACGTTACAAAAACATCTCTTGCGGCGTTCTACTCATTTTATTTCCACGCAAACTATAAGTTTAACTGAACATTTATTTTTATATTCTAAAAACAGTTTTTGTAACGTTTAAAGGCGTTACTTCGAACGTTCAAGCGCACATGACGTCACGCCACGTTCTGAGAATGTTGATCTCAGGACGTTTTGAGCGCGTATATCAAATATTAATAAAGTTATGAGACCGTTCCATAAACACTTATAAGAGCACTAGAAAGAAAACATTAGTGAAAGCTGTGAGAAGGTTAGCTGGGTTGTGCAATTTTGCTTCTCCAGTAAACGCATCTCGATTTATGAACGTTTAGATGTTTGTAGTGTAACGCAGCTTGAATCGCGTCCAAAGCAGCGAATGAAGCCACTGCAAACTAATGCACTTATCACTGCAAACACCCGATGACATGTTCACATGATTCACACACTGCTCCTGACTCCCAGCAATCACACTGATATCCGTCTGCCTCCGTTACATCATGTCTGTTTAAGGTGGAAAACATCTTGCATATGTTGTAAAGGACCATCACATCCAAAATAACCTCTGTAATCATCAAGTGACAGACACATTAAAACACGTGTCTCAGAGCTCAGTCTTCACAGAGATCTCTCACTTTCGTCAATGCACTGAAATCTTAGCCTTAATTAGCGGAGCGCGGGGCACAGTGTAACGCGGGGTAAGTTGTAACACACGTGGTTTGAATATTTCCACACATGCTAGCATAACCACATTTACAGCATTTACTAGTTACCATATCAACATTATATCGAGAAAAAAAGTGCACCAAAATTCAAAAGCGTTTTGAAGATATCGCTGAACATGTATTTTACCATAGTAACATTATATTTCTGGCTTAAGTAAATTTTTCATCTCAGGTTTTATCACTCATTTAAAATGAGACAAATCTGCTATTTTTGCAATCTATTATTTATCAGTTTAGATTATTTTTTAATGCTTCGCTAACTATCATAACCGGTTTTAAATTCCAGTTGCGTTACACTGCGTTACAATGTGCTATTCTATGACATTAGCGATGTAATTCACACTATTTACTTCAATTAATTTGAATGATAAACGACGAGAAACTGGTGACTGACAGTCAATGTTTAGTGTTAAGAAATTATTATTTCAAGACATGTAAAGCACTTTGGCTCGTTTATGTGCGCCGTCCCAAGCTTGGTTTCAATGCGTTCATTGACAAACTCCAAAATCAGATGATTTTTAATTCTTAAAAAACGCCATTATTTTATTTGAAATAAATAATTATTTTATGTTATTGACAAAATATTTTAGTTTGTCTTGTATGTTTTTTTCATGCGATCAGATAATGTTTTAAGCTGTCTTATGGTCATGTTACAACGTGCCCCTCAGATGTTACAATGTACCCCACGTACGGGGCATGTTGTCACATTTCACTTCCAATTTTTGAGGGTAAATAAAGAAAAACGTATACACTGTAATTATGAAACAAAGCGACATATTTGTACTAGACAAGTGTGAAATTACTGTGGATAAAAAAAAATATATTCTGAACCCCATGTGGATTTACACAATTTGAGAAAGTCAAAAAGTGTTACTTTGTGCCCCGCTCTCCCCTACTTCACAGTTATATTTTTGTCAATCTGAATGAATCTGATCTGATTGCAGATTCTGAAAGTGCTGTTTATATGAACCCGAAATGTTGCAGTCAGATTCACACACTTGTTTACATGTGCATTACTTAGAGCAAACTAAACTAAACACAACCGGAGAGAGGAAAGAAAACGAAAATAAATAAATAAATAAATATGAAAATAAAAAAGGTAATTGCAACATTTGATCTCACAAGTTGGACTTTTTTCTTGCAACTGAGAGTTTATATTATTTGATATCAGAATTGCGATATAAACTTAGAATTGCAAAACATTGCATTGCAATTTTTTTTATCGGGCTTCCATAAAAAAATAAAGAAAGCCCCCGATTTAAAAGAGCTTTTTAGCAAATATTCAGATGAAAATAAACATACAGTACGCACCTTGTATTGACGTAAAATACATAAACATCATGCAACTGCGCATGTGTGCAATATATTTTTAGATCCAAAAATAGTCGGATTCAAGCATTTACATGCTTAAATTTCCCTGTTGATCTGATTATTTCACGCGCGCATTCCAATCGTAATTTCATTCAGATGTGATGTTATATATGAAGGCTTTTCATTCCGAATGAGCCATCGATCTGATTATGAACCCATTGTTTGAGTGCGTGTGAATGTAAAGTGTTTCATTTGTAATCTAGCGCATACTTTTCCGAGCAAATCTTGTGTCAAAAATATGTTCCCATTAAGTTATGAAAACCTTATTTCTGAATGTTCAAAACATCCAGTTTTTTAAACGGTTAACATTAAGGGAACATTCCATTTTATAATTTCACAAACATTGTGGGAATGTTACTTTTAATGTTTTCTGAACGTTCTGAAACAAGTAGTAACATTTAAAAAAAAAAAACGTTAGATGAACATGTCACAACCACATGGACCTTGTTTTTGGACTTTTTTGCACCGTTTCCCTTCGTTGTGTGTCCATGTTTGGTCTTGTATTTAAGTTTTTCTGTTAATGTTTTGAGAACTTAATGTTAACCCCCCTAGCTAACAAAATATGTTCTAAGAACATTTTGCTAACGTTTCATTAAGTTATAAAAATTATATTTCTGAATGTAAAAAAAAAAAAAAATCCAGTTTTTCAAATGTTTTTCTTGGTTATTGGCAGATATTATGGGAATGCCGTTTTTGAATTTTCTCTGGATGTTTTGAAACAAGTAGTAACATTTAAAAAAACGTTTTTTCAACTAAAATGTTTCAGAAATATAATGTTCCATGAAGGATGTATAAATAACGTTTCTGTGCTAACTTTTTGAGATCATTATTAAAGGGACAGTTCATCCAAAAATGAAAATTAGTCCATGATTTACTCACCCTCAAGCTATCCTAGGTGTGCATTACTTTCTTCTTTCAGATGAATCCAATCAGAGTTATATTAAAAAATGTCCTGGCTCTTCCAAGATTTATAATGGCAGTGAATGGGTGTTATTTGTCAATAGTCCAAAAGAAGTCCAATAAAGTGCATCCATCCATCATTAAAAGTGTCTCACACGGCTCCGGGGGGTGAATAAAGGCCTCCTGAAGCGAATCAATGCGTTTTTGTAAGAAAAATATCCATATTTAAAACTTTATAAACCATAATCTCTAGCTTCCGCTAACTGTCGTACGCGTGTTCATTCCGGCGGATGACGTAGGACGTAGCATAAGCTCCGGTGAGAGTATGCTAGTCTCGCGAGAACCAACGTTTGTTAACAGGAGCAAAGGAAGCAAAGTTTCTTTACTTTAGCAAAGGAAAACCAGTCTCCTCTCGGCTTATATCGAAATCCTCCCGCATTTTTCTTTACAAATCCTCGTTTTGTGCGTCTAATTCGTGACCGGTGTTTTGTTTCGCTCTCTCCGCTGCGCCGGAATGAACGCATGTACGACAGTTAGCGGAAGCTAGCGATTACGGCTTATAAAGTTTTAAATATGGATATTTTTCTTACACAAACGCATCGATTCGCTTCAGGAGGCCTTTATTCACCCCCCCGGAGCCGTGCGGGACACTTTTTATTATGGATAGATGCGCTTTATTGGACTATTGACAAATAACACCCATTCACTGCCATTATAAAACTTGGAAGAGCCAGGACGTTTTTTTAATATAACTCCGATTGGATTCGTCTGAAAGAAGAAAGTCACACACACCTAGGATAGCTTGAGGGTGAGTAAATCATGGGGTCATTTTCATTTTTGGGTGAACTATCCCTTTAAAGACCAGAGAACTCTGAACAATCTTTCTATTAACATTACTAGAAGAAAGTTTGTTCTTAACTTCGAGAGAACCATGCCAGAACATTCCCTGTTCCCCGTTACTGTGGATTAAAGTGTGTTTGGCACAGCGATGGTCTGATCTATTGTTCGCTCACATTACGGCACATTAACACCTGCTCACTTTCTTGCCCTTTTACACAAGGCCAAATGTATCTGGAGAATCTGGGCACCTAGGTTAGCTTGAGGGTGAGTAAATCATGGGGTCATTTTCATTTTTGGGTGAACTATCCCTTTAAAGACCAGAGAA